CCCTATCAGCTTTGTCAACTACTACCCATCTCATACGACTGCTCCATACCTTTATTCTCTGTCACTGCCATTTCAAATTTTCAAAAACAAAAAATTAGTTCCACATTTACCTTTGATAATACTTCTCAACATCCGCATTTCAGCTACGCATCTTTGATAATACTTCTCAATTGCCAAACAACACTATACCACACCACGGAAAATCCCACATCCATTAAACCACAATCGTTCAAAGCTTAACTTCATTAAAGTCCCTCTCCACTATGCTATGCGGTGGCGGTGTAGCCCTCCCAGTTTCTCTACGCCCAAGTAACACAGCCAAAGCACCTCCCCTCTTCATCCATCCTCACAGTTAAAGACAACCATTCCACACAAATGTCAAAATGCGATCAGTCAAAATTTTCATTGACCACCTTTCCTTATTCTAACTTCCCCAACATACACTACGTCTATATATAAATATACACACACATATACACACAGAGAGAGATAGAGAGAACAACTGATGCCCATGCAAGAAATTCCTTGTATTCAAAGAAAATCTCATTTATTTAAAACAAAACTTGACTTATGTGAAAATTTTGACTAGGAAATCATACCCTACTCTTATAGTTTGCATGTTCCCAAATCAAACCCTTCTCACAGTTCATATGCATTACGACTGCCACGAATCTGTCAATTCCACCTTCATGCAACAAAAGCACCAGGTCCTTCTTAAACAACATTTCATCTCTACAATCCAAAAACAAGGAGATATTGACCAGTAGATTGCCAAATAAAGAAGTCGGTTTTATAGGCAATAGCCAGATACCCAATTCCATATATGTATGTAAATCTCTAAGTATGTCTGTCTAGCCTTACATGCAACTGAGCTAAGTGTTTTGATTTCCCCCTCCCAAACAATCATTCATTTCAACACATTTTTTCCTACCCATGACGGCAGTTTTAATAATTCCTTCAATATTTTTTATACTAGTATCAGTTCATTGCCTCTTGCCCAATTTAGAAGGTGATAAACTATCCACATAACCTTCTATTATAGGAAACAGTAAATTTTGTTAACAAAATGAGGTAAGAAAAGTTACTAAACCAACTAAGGTGCATGAGTCATCCAACCAAGGATTGGTGAAAACATACATCATCCAAGCACAACAATGAAAATTGACCATATTATATTACACACGAAGCTGTGTCTCACAATGCAAAAAGACGAATATTCACAAAATCCTTAAACACTGAGGGCCCAAAAATAAGACAAAAAAATACAACCAGTCCCATAATCTTTCATAACCTCTCATGTTTGTCCTCAAAGATCTTCGTATTTCTCTCCATCTAAATGTCCCAAATAGTAGGGAAACACAAAAAGGGTCTTCATCCTTCCATTTTCCAGGACTCATATATCCAAACAAATCATAGATGACATGGACATGGGGCCACCCAACAAAGTTCCACAATATCAAACAACTTATTCCATAGTGGAAGTGCCATGAGACAATGCCTACAAAAAATCCACGATCTCATTATCATTTTTAAACATTACACTCCACTCTGGGAGGAGATAAATCTTGGGTCGCCTTTGAAACACATCATTTGTGTTGACCCATAACTTTGCACCTTTAAGGGGCACATTGGCTTCCCAAATCTTCAATGATGAAAGGAATAGTGAAGTGAGAAATCATGAATGACGGCTCAAAGAATTCTTTACATGAAAACACACCAGTTGGATCAGTTATTCAACATCTTTTATCAAGCTGATTTTGGGTCAAGGAAACACTAAAGCACATAGAGAAACACCAATAACTCCAAACATCCTTATTATGAAGACGTTTGTCAAAACCAAAATCCTAGGAAACAAGACAAGAGTAGGACCAAACAAGAGATGCAAGTCAATGAACAATATAGCAAGCAATTCGATAAAGACGAGGAAATAAACTGTAGAGTGAAGACTCCCTAACTCAAGTATCCTACCAAAAATGAACCCTTGTTATATCTACCAGAGTAAACTTAACACTTAACCAAGTGTAGTGAAAAGCGAGCGAAGCGAGCCAGGCGAGAAAAGCGAACGCCTACTTCCAATTTTTTTATTTTCTCCTCCTCCTTCTTTAACATTAACCAAACCCTAGCAAAGATAATGTTATATGCGTATATATATAACATAAATTGATTGATTCGTGTAACGACGTCATATGACAACATGTCTTATTATGATTAGATAATGTTGAACGATTTGTTTTGATGTGAATGCTCTTATTAATCAATTTGTTTGGTTAATCAAATTGATTAATCAATTTGCTATATGTTGTATTTGATCAATTAATTTGTGAGTGCTTTGTTTAGTGGTGATATTAATCAATCACGGTGGAAGTTGAACCCACATTTGTTAACTTTATATTTAGATGACGTGATTATGTCAATTGATTATTTTTAGAATACAATATTGTTCAATATTTAATATCTTGTCTATTTAAAATATGTTAATATTTATTATTTTGATTGCATTTAAATATTTTGTATTTGTAAAGTTAAAATTTGAATATTTGGAAGTAATCAAAGTATGAAACTAAAATATTTGCTTATTTTTTATATTGTTCGTTTTGCTTCAATGAAGCGCTCGCTTTACTTCTTGCTTCTCGTCTAGGCCTTCAGGAGCCCAATTCGCTTTAATTCGCTTTACACCTTAAATAACACTGACTTAACCCACTAAGAAACGTAAAGTAACTCCTGGGAAATGAGCTTCCAAGGACTCCAAAAGCTATCCCTTTCAACTCCATTAACATCCCACCTATTAGAGCATCTCCCACCCTCACCCTTTTCTAAAATCCAATGCAATACCCAAACTAATATCAAATCAAGAGAGACTCAAACCTTTACTCAAATCACCAATGGTCAGATTTCATTTTTCATTAAAGATCTAATGGTCATATTCTATCCTCTTTCAAATTTTAGTTTGTCCTTATTTAAATTTGGATTTTCCTTCTTTTAACTTCTTTGAGTTTTTCTATTGAAATTTTTTAAATCAAATCAAGTTTTTTACTCAAATTTGAGTAAAATGTGAGTCAATGTTCGAGATGCTCTTAGTTTGTATCTCATATTTGCTACCACAATGAATCTTGCTCATGGGAATCTGCAAAGCATTTCCTAACCAAAGCTAAATTCATCTTTAACAAATTCCCAACAGAACGATCGTCTTTAGCTTTTGGCCTAGACACAAGCTCCAACTAAATCAAGTGATCCTCCTACCCTCCCCCATTCCATCTCGTAAGAAGTCCCTCATCCAATCCTCAATCTTCCTAGCAACTAAACAAGGTATTTTAAAAAGAGACATGAACTTAACTACAATAGCAGCCACAACAAAAAGAACCAACATTAATCTATCTGCCCTTGAAATAAAGGTTTTCTTCTACCCATATAATATTTTTTGAACTTTCTCAATAACAAGATCTCAAAAAAACCTAGACATTGGATTACCATCTAAGGGGAGACCTAATACTTCAATGGTCAATTCAAAGCCAACTTTATTTTTCTTCCCTTAACTAGAATTTATATCCAATTATGTTGTCAGCCGTATTTAACTTGAGACCAGAAATAAACTTCAACAGTCTTTTTAAAGTTTTTGAATCCTCCATCACCAGAAAAGAACATAGTCACAACTTTTTAACTCCCAATCACAAAACAACCGACCAAACTACCCCTCAACCTTCTCCGTTGGCCTACTCAGTCCATCTATCGCTGAAGAGAACAAAAAAGGTGACAAAGGATCACTTACCTCAACCCTATAAAGCGTTAAATTAACTCCTAGGCTTCACATTCAATACAACAGCGAATTATTGGCCAAGTTGCCTCAACGTCTAACATACAGCAAACGTCCAATGGCCCACAGTAAACAACATCTCTGGAATACCAGAATTCTAGAAAATCACGAGCAGTAATGGAAGAATTCTGCAGAATGCATTTAGCAAAACCCATTAAATATAATCCCTACTCAACCAATCTACAGATAGATGCTTAAGTTTGCAATGATCTGTTCCTTCTTTTATCCAAAAGGTTAACAAACTAGAGAATGGGGGCATAACCACAAACCATCAAGTACTCACCTACAAGGCTACAAGTCAAAGAAAATCAGAGGAACTAGGAAAGAATTACCAGAGAATTAAAATCCCCAACAGACATTCCATGCAAACTAGGTGGGCCAGTTCCCCGGCCTAAGTTTCCTCGATGAAAAAAATATAAAAAGAAAAAAGGAGAAATTTCTGAGAAATGGATGATAGAACTTAACAAAGAGAAACCAGCATGTGATTCTAAACCGGTCTTCTCTATCCAAAAACCCATCAAGTGAGAGAAATTGTAACATCAAAAGTTAGATTCATCCACCGGACCAACTCTCAGCAACACTTTCCATGGACAACCACAAAACCTTCCTAGAACTCTTAAACTAGGTTGAGTACAAAACCAATTACGACATTCCATGCCACACAATCTGACACAAGCAAAACCCTCATACAGAAGATTAGGGCAACTACATTAAGAAGAAAATTTCCAAGGTGTTAACCCAGATGAAAGCAAAGCCTGAATTGGTTAGCGAATAATATGTGATTCACAAGACTTGAAAACTAACACAGAAACCATGCCAACCAGATGCATAAAGTATGCCAAGTGCCTCTAAAAGTCACAGTCAAGGTGCATAAACTAACAGTGCATTAAGAAGAACTACCAATGACCTCATAATACACAAATATAAAAGTTCTCTTAAAAAAACCAGCTAATAAACAAATGACCAAACAATCTGAATAAACAATTTCTCTGGAAAAAAAAATGACATAAATATAAATTAATCAAGCTGTCAGTATTTGAATCAACAGAAAATTACTTGGCTGAAGCCATGGAGAAGCCAACGTAAACATTCCAAGACAGTTGCCATGGTCAACATATTTTAACCCCAACCCCCCCAAAAAAAAAAAAAACAAAACTGAGAGAGGAAAAACCCAAAAAAAGAAGGCAAGCCCTACCCCCACCAAAGAAACAGAGAGATGGAGTCAGATAAACAGGACATACATGATTATGCTTTCCCTACCCCCACCAAAGAAACAGAGATGGAGTCAGATAAACAAGGCATACATGATTACGCACCCGAATTGATTTAATGGCTGTATCAACATCGGAACAGGATGTAGAGGAGTCTAAAGCACCATGTAGAATAGAAAAACAAACTCCCAGGAACAGCTTTCAAGCTGCCAACATACAGAGGTTAAACAAAAAATCAGTGAGATATGAAATTTATGTGAATTCAAATATGTTTAGAGTATAGACACTGAAGTCTTTCTTTAAGATAGCCCATCAAAGAATAGAAACACTTCACCTGATTTGGTATAAAACGAGGAGCTGCAGAAGATCTGCTCAACCAAGTCATCTAGTTGACAATATTCTCATCTATCAATTAACCAGAAAGCCAATTTAGTATCAAACGTATGTTAGATGGAGACTGCCAAGACCCTCAGATTCATTTTTTCCATCCAAAAGAATAAATAACTAGATCAATCAACGGTACAAACTGGAGTTTTCTACCTGCAAGATTCTCAAATTCACAGCACATAAACGAATAATTCGCAAGGTTAAAAAAAATAATGTTTCAGACCCGATAATGTTCAAATGTGACGAGCACAACTCAAGGCAATAAGATCCCTTCACGACCACATGGTTGCTATATCCTATAAACAACAAAAACCCCAGCATAGGAAAGACAATTATTACCAGTAAATCTAGCAGGAAGATCAGCATAAAGTTGCATTCAAGACACTAGCTCAGGAAATCCTCATTTATCCATTTCAGCTGCCAGCAGTAAAGACAGACTTCATTAAACAGCTATCAATCATACACTCATCGAAAAAAACTAAGTTCTTAAAACATGAAACTGAGCAACAGTATTAAAATGGTCAAATAACAGCTAAAGGTCCTAACACAGCAACGCATTTAATGGCCAACGCCCTTTTTTGCTCTAAGCTTTTTAAGAGCCTTTTCCCGTAACTCGATCTCAAGCCTTTTCTGCTCAGATTCATTCTCTTCTGCATAACTGGCATGCGACTTCAGCCTTTTAACATGTTCACCATCAGTAGAATCATCATGATTTTTCTCACTATCTGGAAGTAGAGTAACAGTATCAACTAACTTCAATTTTCGCCTCTCTGCACGCCTCTCTTCCCTTCTGCGGTGTCGCTCCTCCCGCCGATGACGCCTTTGCTCCTTCCTCAATCTCTTTTCCTCCTTCCTCCTCCTTTTAGCCTCCTTCCTCTCAACAATTTGGGAATCACTACTAGAATCATCATCGGATGCCACCTCTTGCCTTTCCGATCGTTTATGCTTTCTCTTTTCCTTAACTTGAGCTTTGTGCTTATCACTTTCCTCGGAGCCAGAATCCATAAAACCTCTTCGATTATTCTCAACTTTTTTGGCCAAGTTCAGGACAGTTTCGGATTTTTGACGCTGATCACTGTCCTTTATATCTTTTGATGGAGAATGATTCTTCCTATCAGCTTTGTAACCACCTCGACGGTATGATTCTGGGTCTCTCTCACTTTTCAAAGTGTCTTTATCAATTGCCGGTGAACCTCGTGGAACAGGAACTGCAGGATGAAGTAACTCAGGAAGGTTTCCACTGTCCCATGCAAATTAAACCAATACATCAGATGAATTCTTCTGTGCATGCAACCATACATAGAGAAAAGATGTACAACAGTAACAATAGCAAACCTCTTTGTTTCTTGGCCTTGCTTTCTCAACTCCTTGCCCTCAGGGTGGCCCCAGGTTTCATCAGAGCGATGACTAGCTACTCTTTCAGGCGAATATTTGTTCTTGGGGCGAACCTTCTCAAGTTTATCTTTAAGCTCACCAGCTGCAGACGAATGTGAAGGCCTTTTCCCTGAATACTTAAGTTTCTGATCCCTATCCTCCCTAAATCCAAAAACAAAAAACAAATAAACAAGTGACCCAAAAATATAAATATTCAAACATTCCACATCATTATTAGAACAAAAAGGGTTCATGATTCATCAAAAGTTAGACATGGCTAAGGCAACCTGGCATAAGAAGTTTCTTTCTCCTCTGCACTTGTCTCTGCACTGTCATGATGAGGTTCACGCCCTCTAGCTCTTGGTGCAGGACTTGAGCTGCCATCACGAGTCATCTGTATTTTTGTTTGTTTCACAGGGGATTTATAAGGACTACGTGACCTGCAGGAGCCGTAAAATATCAAGACAAACTGCATGAATTATGAACAAAGAAATAGAAGTAGTATTACAGATGCAACCTTCCATCTTCATTAGCACTTCCCTTCCTTGCAGCTGTTGGAGATTCTGAAACGGAAGGAGACTTGGATACCGAACGCCTCAAGGGTGGCACTTTTCTATGGATATCATTATGGTTCCTTCGATCTCTTTGTGGTGACATTGATGAAACAGGAGGCCGACGTTCAAACAAGTCTGATCCTTCACCAGTCTCTCTTGGAAAGGCACGACGAACAGGAGAATGTTTTTCATGGGTTCTGCCACATTAATTTCCTAAGTTAGAACCACCTTAACAAATTAAGAACACCGCAGATAAACGGAACCTAGTGAAAATGTAATAGAATCTCACCCAATATTCTGACTATTACACCAACCATGTTCATATTACAATCCCTTACCCAATTCCGCCAAATTTCTCATGCAGTATTAAAAAACTCTACTAGGACTAAAATTCATGTCCACCAGAGCTCCATAAGGGGAGTGATATTAGCAGCATACGACACTCAAAAGAAATAAAAAATGGGAGTGCCAAAATACCTGCGTGTTCCTCTAGGAGATTGCATGGATGACCTTTGCTTAAGCTTTGGTGATCTTCGGATTGGTGAGGGGGACATACAACGAACCGGAGACGATGAACTCCATTCTTGAGGTGAAGGAGACCTATATCGAGGAGTTGGTGATCTTCTTCGGTGTAGAACAGGGGATCTATTTCGATGTAGGGATGGAGATCTACGCCGCGGAGTTGATGGAGATCTACGGTAGCGCAATCTTGCAGGAGATGGTGATCTACGTCGCACAGGCATTGGTGATCGCCGTCGTACAGGAGTTTGTGACCTTCTTCGAACAGGAGTTACCGATCGCCGTCGCATAGGAGTCCTTGATCTACGTCTGATAGGCGACCTTGGCCTATTTCGAACCGGTGACCGTGACCTACGCCACACAGGTGACCGTGATCGATGTCGCACAGGTGATCGCCACATGGGAGACCGTGATCGGCGACGTATAGGAGAACGGAATTTATGTCGCACAGGAGAAGGTGATCTGCGCCATGAACGTGATGTAGATCTACGCCTAGAATTAGAAGACCTATGTTTTGGAGGAGAGAGAGACTTCCGAGGAGAATGCCTCCGACGAGGTGTGACAGACCGTCTTGGTGAAGAGTGGTACATCCTTCCAGAGGAAATAGAGCGCCCTCTAGGTTCAGAACCAGATCTACTTCTCGACCTGGGGGAGAAAAGATAAGGGAATACAATAAAGTCAATTAAACTTAAACCATAAAGATCATACTCTTTCTGCTAGTATAAAAACGTACTTTGAACAACTTCTGGAATTGGAAAACGACTTGCTTATTGACCTTGAATGTGTGCCTCTGCACAAGAAACCCAAAAGCTTCATACAAAGAAATTCTCCAAAAAGAAAAGCATCAAGAATCAAAATAACAACAGCATATCAAAAGCATAATCAGGATAAATACCGAGGTGACAGAGGTCGACCAGCTGAATGGGGAGATTTAGAGACCCTATGGAGATGCAGTAAATATAATTAGTCCACCAAATCTGGGTAATATGCTAAAATTGCATCCACTAGCATATTTTATATCAAAATAGTTGTAACAATAGCTCAACACGCTGCTTACTAGGTGCGGCTTAGCCTTTAATTTAATCAACAATGCTAAGAACTAAATGCTAACAAAATAAACACTAGAACCAAGTAACACAAAAATTACTCCCCACACCCCCACCCTCAAATAATATTAAAAATTAAAAGAAGGAATTACAGAAAGCATATCACCAAAACGTATAAAGTGGAAAAGAATATGGCAATGAAAACCTAAAAAACTAGGCCGATCCATTGATATGCCTACTTCCGCACCAGGAAACCTCGATTCCACATGAGAAGTGAGAATGGAGGAGGCTATATATCTCCTGAGTACACGGGGAAGAAAAATGGACAGAAGTCATAAGAAAACCTCAAGACAACAATAAACTCTTCAACTCTATCAATCTTGAGTAGGTAAATTGAAACTTAATCACATATTATAAATCGAGGAACCAATATAAAACGAACAACCCAGCCAATCAATAAGAACCACAATTACACTAAAACCAGTAAGCCTAAACATAGAAGTTGTGGCAGCTTTAGGAATCAAACTAAGATCAGCAATTTTAGAACCAAGTCTCAACGTGTCAAACTCTACAATAAACAAAACCAAATTCATAACGGCCAATTGGTTGAAAGCAAGGAACCTGCCATGCGTTTTGAATGACACCAATTGGTACTAGGCAACAAGAAAACCTTATTGGTTGATAATCCAGAAAAAGAATTCCAACATATTCCCATTAAACTAGGTAGACAACAAGAGAGAAAAAAGTCCCTGTGAGATATAAATTGCATTCATCTCGTTAGGGTTTTGCCAACAAAGAGAACTTACTTTGTCCATGGAATACAAAGGCAGATAATAGTCAACCAAAAATTATTATATTTATCACGAATAAAAGTTCTCTAAAGTTATGGGCTGCTTTCCAATTCAAGTAAAAGTTTCGATATGACTCCACACAGAACCTTAAAACGTGAAATAGCCTCCAGAAGAAATGACATCAAAGTAATTAAAAAAAATTTTAATAAGGCTGTTCTTAAGTCTTGATATAACTTAACTATTTCCTAAAATAATAAAGATCAATAAACACCATAATAGATAACTCGAACCTAGATACAAACCCTCTTATAACTTACAACTACCAAAACACTCACATAATCCTTGCACTAAGAATATTTCTTGTTTGCCAAGGAACCTGAAGTCCTAGGTTTCGAGCTTCTGTATGCTGTCTTCAACCAAGCAATATATTAGGCTACTTCCCATTTTTCTTACTACGGCCAGGCAATCTAAATCCAGACGAACAAATGGACCAAAATATCTATACTAAAAGGGTTCCAGGAGGATGCAGAGATTTTGGGGCTATGCAAAAAAAAGGCAGGCAATATATTACCACAATTGAGCAAATAACAAATGTACTTTCTAGGTCTAACCTGCTCCTTCCTCTTGAGCCATTCCTTTCACTGGTGTCTTTCTCATCAGCTGACCTTGGCTCAAAAGCAGCAATATTAGCCCTCAGCATGTCAACCTCGCCGTCCTACAGTTTGAGGTAAAGGACATGAACCCATATAATTGCAGAAGCAAGCTGAATACCATGTTCTTTGTCGAGTTGACTAGCTTTAGTTCAAGAAACATAAACGGAAGTCAAAAACAAAAGGCCAGCTTTACAAAAACTAATTCTTGCATGGAAAAATTTATAAGTTACCTTCTTCTTCGTATTCTCTTGCTCAAGCTCCAAAGCTTCCTTTTCTTTCTTCCTCCGAATTTCATTTGCTATCCTATCCGTCTCTGCCTACAATGACCCAATTGCACCATTATACAAATAGGCACTATGACTACATAAAGTGAGCCACACATAATTTAGAAAAAGAATGGGACCATCTTCTTCCTAGTTTCCTCCTCTTTGGCATCCAGGAACTGCTGAGGGACCCCGCTTGAATTATTTTGTGCACTGAGAAGTAGCGACCAGAGCTCTTTCATAAACTTCCCAGTATTTTTCTCCATGAATCCTGTTAGCGCAATTTGAACCTCCTTTCCATTAACTTTCTGCAGGCAAAGAAAATGCCCTTCAAAATATTACTAGCGGCCAAAGAAAAACACAAAAAAAAAAAAAATGAAAAAGCACACAGAAATTTCACTTCAAGTTTGGATTAAAATAGCAATTCCACATCCATAATTGCTCCATTCCATAGCTCATTTAATGTGTTTTCAAAGAAGAAAGACATTACAGAGTATCTGAGGATACATGAGTTAAAGACAATGAAACAGAAAATTAAACAGTTCACATTTTCCCTGTCACTTAAGTTTATCAACTGCCAAATAGATACTATCAATCGAACATGTAAATGACGCCCCCAAGAAGATCAAAAAAGGAAGCGTGGTCTAAATTACCTTCGCATCTAGAAGGCCATATATGAAGTTGATGAGCACTTCATCTTCAAATCCAAGAAGTTCAGTTACTCGGTGTGCAATCCATGGTCTCATCACATCCATCTTAACCTTCGTCATGTCCACCTAAACACACAATTCATAGGAAATTGGTAAGTACGATTTTTAAAAAATGGACAGAATTGAGCAAACTCCAACCAAATTCCCCCAAATATCGACACAAACTTTGAGAAAATGACGAACCTGGTGATCCAATTCAGGGGCGAACTTCTGCGATTTCAGCAGTTTGGCTTGTTTGTTCGAGAACCGAGTGTCCTGATCAGCCGACGTGCCCTACCAAAACACAATCAACCACTAAATGATTCCAGTGGAATACAAAATTCTATGCACACAACTAGCCTGGATCTGAGAAAAAATCACAAATCATTCGAAAGACTTCACATCATTAGAAAATTTACCCGGAAAAACCCTCCCGACATTTTCTAGGGTTTGTGATGGAGGCTGTGGAGGAGGGTTAGCTTGAGCCAGTGAATCGAGGATATGCTGGATGAAGAAAAGAAATGTTTGGTCACGCAGTTTATGGAATATCTTAACCCAAAATGGTGGATGCGAACCCTAATTTTAGTATCGTATTTATAACTATAACCCTATTATTTTTACAGCTTCTCTTCTAATTAATTACATTTAAGCCCCCCTACAGTTTATCACTTAATCATTTAAACCTTTTTACATTTAAAATATTATACACAAATCCCCTTAAATTTGTAGATGTGTAACATATAGACCTCAGTCATATTAGTATATCTGTTAATAAATTATATGCATATTCTTAAAATTTAAACATATAATACTTAGACCCTTCAAGTTTAAAATATTATATTTAGACTAAAAATGTTTCAATTAAAGATAGAATATCAAATTTTTTAAGTTTTACAACTAAAATTTATATTCTATTATGTCATTTATTGAAATAAAATCAAAAATAACAATTTAATCTTTTCTTAAAAAAAAACATAATTAGTACTGTTGATATCAAAATTTGAACAACTTCATCAGTAATTTGTTGAGTTTCGATCACCTAAAAACAAAATCGGAGACCGGAGGGGACACTCTGATGCCTAAGTCAATAAGTAACTCAAAAATATGAATTGCATTTTTCTTCTCAAGTGACTCAATATCTTCTATCTTTTATTTGGGTAATTTAATCGTTTAATAGATTTCGTTAGTTTCATAAAAGATTTAAGTTTAATATTTTAAATTTGAGAGGTCTAAGTGATATATGCCTATAAATTTTAGGGACCCTGTATATAATTTACTAATAAATATATTAATAACATTGATGACAAGGGTCTAATTGTTATGCGTGTACAAACTTTAAGATATTTGTGTATAATATTTCAAATGTCAAGGAATCTAAGTGATAAATCTCGAGAGATTTAGATATAATTTTCCTTTTCTTGTGCCCTATATAAGCACTTCTATCATCTTTATTAATTAAACCAAAGTTTAATTTACTATCATCTTTTATAACTACTCAACATCTTAATCTTTGTAAAATTAATCTAGCACATTAATTGATTATTTTTCAATAATGTTCGGAGAAGGGCATGGAGGGGGTAAGAGCTCACGCTGATAAGAGGTGTAGGGTGATAATGAAGAGATATTATAAATTCTGTGTATCACATAAGGTGATTATTAGTATATAATTATCTCACTTATTCTCATCACTTGTTACGGAGTTATTGCACATGGGTAAGTGCCATATTTTTTTCCATGTAAAAAAAAAATAACTCATAACAACATAAAAAACCTTCAAAAAATTTCACATACCAAAAAAATCATCATATTTGACTATATTGTGTTGAAAACTCAAAAAATAAATTTATATCTTAAATTTGTAGATAATAATGATACCAAAGTTTTTATTATTTCATGATATTCATGTTCGCTAATAGTCAAAAAGTTAACCTATTATGGTCTGTTTGGTAGGGTGATTGAAAAAATTGAAAAATGTTTCTATCATTCAATTGAGGAATCCTTCGTTTCATCCTTTGTATTTGGTAATAGGGATGGAAAGTAGGATGACGAATTGATTTTTTTGCGTTTGGTAAAATTGAAAAAATAAAATTTTTTATTTTTTATTATCAAAAATATAAAATACATATTTTATTACTATTTTTATATACATAATATATAATTGATAAATATGATATATGTACATATTAAATGATATATATAAACAAATAACATACATTTCAACACACATAATTAACTTTTCATTCACTTTTTCTTCCATTTTTTGAGGGATTTATTTTGGTGAGTTGGAAGAAAAGCTCATTCATCTTGGTTTTCATCATTCTTATTTTCTTTTCTTAAGAAATATGATGTTTTATTTATCGCTTAAACTTTTCATTATTCTATTTTTTTCATTGTACTAAGAGTAATGTCATTTAGACCTAATTTACTATGTCCTTTGAATTGATTGTGGAGTCCATTAAACATTGAAAATTAGTGTTGATCTAATGATTTCACTAAAATCATATTATCATATTAACAAATTATGTCAAATTTTTATATTCATATAGCACTACACTTGTACTAAATGAAGCATTAATATTGTTATTTGAAAAGTGTAATATACTAGGGGTAACTCATATCTGAAGGCACGTGAGTGAAGATCCAATAGAGAGAGAGAGAGTGAAGAGTGAGGAGTGAGGAGAGAAAGGTAAAATTTGATGTGAATGGTTTTGAGAGGGTGTTGGTAGGCGTTGGATGAGTTTATTTAAGACCATTGAACTTCAACTTTTCATCATTCCATTTTTCATTGTACTAAGAGTAATGCTTTTGAGACCTTTGCTGACTAATTCACTATGACTTTTGGATTTATTATGTGGCCCATCAAATATTTAAATTTAGTGTTGATCCAATGGTTCCACAAAAATCACATTATTATGTCAGCAAATTAGATCAAATATTTAGATCCAAATAGCATTACACTTGCAATAAATGAAGCATTAATATTGTTATTTGAAAATTATAACGTACTAGGGGTAACCCATGTCTAAATGCACGTGAGCGAAAATCCAAAAGAGAGAGAGAGTGAAAAGTGAAAAGAGGAAGATAAAATTCAATATAAATAGTTTTAAATGGGGGTGTTAGTGGCTGTTAGATCAGTCTATTTGAGACCACTAGATGAGTTTATTAAAACCTAACATGTTTTATACTAACAATGCACCACGTGCGTTACACATGAATAATTTTTATACATAAAATTAATAAAATATATTAGGTATATGTGTGTTTGAATTAAATATCATTTCAAATTCACAAAACTTAATTTTTTATTACTCAAATCTATATAATAAAGTAGCTTACAATTCAAATTTAAAAAAATAGACTTTTATTTTTTGCGGTTCAGATCGCTTTAAATTTTATTCTAAAGTTAATATAACGGCTAATACTAACACCCTAAATTTAATAGGAAAAATAGGGTCCTAAGAGTGTGTTTAGGGTGACTTTTTAAAAGTACTTCTAAAATTTTTTTCTCACTCGCCACCATCACCACCGCTACCAATGCCACCACCACAACCATCACCACCTCCGTCGCCACCGCCACTACCACTACCACCGCCGTCGCCGCCACCATCACCACCACTACCACGATCGCCGCCACCCCACCACCACTGCCCCCACCCTGCCACCGCCTCCACCACCACCCCCACTACCATTATCGCCGCTACTGCCACCATCTTCATCGCCACCCCACCACCACCGCCCCGACCACCACCACCACCACAACCACCATCGTCGTCACCACCACCCCCTCCATCACTGTCGCCGCCACTACCACCACTGCTGCCGCTACCGCCACTGCCATCACTATCATTGTCACCCCACCACAACCATCACCGTCTCCTAGCATCACCACTGTCGTCCACCATTTCTCACCCCCACTACAACCGATGCTTTAATTCATTTATCTCTCCTCTATGTTTGTAATTTGATTTTGAATATCAATACAAATATATTTATTGTTTACCATTTTTTATTACTCTGTGCCTTCAGATACAGGCAATAACTAGTTCTATTATAAGATTATGAAAATTTTATATACTCTCAAAATTCTTTGTTCTATCTATAAAAAAAATAGTTACAGTTCCTTTTTTTTTTTTAAATTTATGATTGAGGTTGATTTTTTAGTGATGTTTGAGAAATTAAATTTCTTGAAATTCATTTGATTAGGATTGCATTTATAATTCCTTAAATAAAATAATAATAATTGGTAATATATTAATCAAATTGAAACCTTATTGTAATTAAAAATTAGTTAAGTCAATTAGGATAAAATTTAATATACTACTCTATAATATAATATATATTATCAAACATATTAAAATTCTAAAAAATTAAAATTTTACTTAAAAATACACTACAATTTATATTTTTACATAACATTGTAGTACAACCTAAAAATGTTATTGTGATTGAAGAATTATACTGATGTAGCGTAAATTGATTTAAAAAAAATTATATATACAATTATTTTTTATTTTATAAATAAAATGATTAAAATTTTCAATGAAAAAGAAAATATGCATATGTAGGCATAATGTTATCTTTGCATATAAGATGAGTAATATTAGATTGATGAAATTTTTGAAGGTTTTTTTGAACATTTTATAGAAAATATGATGATGCATATTTTTTAAAGGGTAATATAGTCAATGAAATTATAATTTGGAGATTTATATAAACAAATATTTATACATAGAGAATAAATAATTAAAAAAGATGTTATAAATAATTTGGAGATTTAAATACATATGTATATGATTTAAGGTAATTTTATTAGTAGTATAGATAGATTATAGATTATAGATGTCATTTGGTAATACATTTTTTAAAAATTTCTTAAGCAAGAAAAATTGTCCACAAATATTGATTGGCATTTTAATAAAAGTTCTATACACTTTTTCAAAGAATATAGTAAAACTCAAACGACTAAGAATTTTATAAAAATAAAAAGTAAACACATATAAAGTGACAAAAATAAAATATATATTATTAAATTGTATCTAATATTTTTTAAAAAATTATTTTGTGATGAAAGAAAAACATTCACATGAACCTTTTAATTATTTGTTATTGTCATAAATTAGTAACGATATTTTTTGTTAGTATACAATGCCCATTTTGTGAATATGTTTTATTTTTATTTTTATTTTTTTTTCTAATTCCTAATCCATTTGGAGATTAACAAATTGAATTTAGTTCAATTAACTTCAATTTAAGTTGTATAACTTGATGATATCATCAAACATAATTTTAATCAAAAAAAATCAAATTTTCAATTCACCAAATATGAATTGAAGCTAGTTTTTTGTTAAGGCCAAATTTTGAACTCACCAAATATGTATGAGTTTCACCCAATGGTTGGACAACATTTATGGTTAAATTTTTTGCAGCTCAGATCATTTTGATCTGACAGTTCTAATACGAAATTTCTCCCCCAATTTTTTAAGAAGACTTTTATTCCTTCTATACTCTAAGGTTTTTATCTCTCATATAACTCTCTCTTTCTATCTCATACTATCTAATGCTATGTCTC